TTTCATATTACAAAGAAAATGATAATGTTCGAATGTTTGACTTGCTGGTGGTCGATGGCGTCGATATTTACGTGGAGGTGGTAAAGGTGGAGGTAATTCACGATTTGATGATGAAAATTTTAAATTATCTAAGTCGTAAAGTTTTAAACGTTCCATTGAACTACGACGTATTCGATGTGCCATAAATTAGGATAAAAATATTTTTGTATGTAGATAATATTAGATTTAGTGGAATTATTGAGAGTATTCGTCCGTTTTATAAATTAATATGCGTAATAAGCATGCGTTTGTATTTACAGATGTTAATTGTCATAAACACGTTCTTTCTTCAGTAGCGTTTAATGTTTGAGATTGTATTTAATCACGTGGAGCACAAAATACGAAGTAAAGAAATGAATACTATGACGAGAAAAAGGAATGAATAAAAAAGATGAATAGTTATGTCCTTGTAAAAATCAATTCTAGTAAAAGAACAGAAAAGAGAATTGACAAGTATAGATTCATAGGATTTATTCTATCGATGTAAAATACCTTCAAAATGTTGCCTATTCAGTTTCATCAAGAATAAAATGATTCAGTTTCCTTTCTGATTAGAGGTAATCTTATCGCTTACTACAGCATGCATGGAATCAATTGCGAGAGAATAAAAATCTAAATCGTATTTGACACAAGTCATCGACAAATTTATGATACTTTTTTTTACTGAACTAGCATATCATCTTTTTATATTATTAGAATGACAATACTAATTAAATATCATCCTCAAACATCTAGCAACTGTCTTCTTTTCATTATCACATTACGTCAATTTTTTTTCGAGATGATATACATAAAACTAACACTGAAAAAGACGAAAAATTTTTCTCACTCTGATCGATTTGCTCAATTTTATGGACAGTTAAATAAATTCAAGCTAAATTATTCACAATAGAAGTCTCATAAATTTCTCATAGAGAAAAATCTTTATCATTTTCAATGGTACCTCTGCCTCTGAGTGATATGTCCCCTTGATACGAACGAACATTCAAATGCAGCTGTTTGAATGCGAATATTATTATCATTGTTCTTGCACTTCTCAGATCATATAATCTGCCAACAGGATTCTGTACAATTCTTACAAATAGTGGCGGCGCCACAAGTGAATGTGAGTCGATGAATAGAGAATTGATACCCTAATTTTGACATAAAAATGCTTGATCTATATACAATACTACAATGGATACTTTTGCTTTCATTGCATGATCGAAGATGATTTTCAATGAATATACTCATCATTTTCTAGCTTAAAATTGAGTAAAATTCGTCACTTTGTCATGATTATTAAAGAAATCGAACTAAATACAAATGATAGTTACAATGTACAAGATTTTAAGAAAGATTTCAGTAAAATCTCTTCTAGATTAACATATAAAACATGATGAAGCCACTTTAATCGTATGAAAACTCTCGTCACATTTATTATAATTCATAACAATGTCAATAGAGTTACTTGTCAAGATGTTCGTCACGATCGATAGAATTCATGTCTCTCACGCTGTATACTTCAACATTCATTAACAATAATATTTCACAAAAATGATACATTAATGAATCTTCTTGATTTGTTCTTTATTGCTTTGCATCATGGATCGTATTTTACGCAGAATTAATATTGTCCAATAGATATTAAGTGCTCTTGTTACAAGAAACATAAAAGCTTGTATTAAAACAATCACAATACTTGTTGTGTCATGAACATTTGAAGCCATCTGAATAAATATTGGTATAGCTTTAAATGAATACCACAAAATGATAGTTCCATAAATAAGACGGCACAAAATGAATGTAATTGCAAATAATTGAGTCAATAAAGTATGCAAATGAACTTGTTGAGAAACGATAATCTAAAGATTGAGTGGAATAGTCGAGAGTTCTTCAGCCAGAAGAAGAAATCGACATGCATGACCAACACCTGTATACAGTCCTATAAAAAACACTACTGCAGACAAAATGAAGAGTCGAGTTTTCTTTCGTTTCACTTGAAACCACGAACATATTGAGCTCTTTAAATTTATGAAAAATGAACTAATGATAGAGCTCTCAAGACTACTAACTCATCAATAAATGTCATTTTCATCTAAAATATGAAAAAAAAAACAAATCTTGTAGAATTTGTAAATGTCTAGGAATCTGAGTTCACTACTTTCCTTTGATAAGATACAATGTCCAATTAAATTGTATTTGGAATTTGATTTTGAAACTTTTTTCTCATAAATCCCCCTGACCAAAATTAAATTGCACATCTAACTTTTTCGATTATTCTTCCATAATCTTCTGATTGGATCTCAAATTTATATCACAGTTACTTTCAGTCAGAAACGGATGAGAAAAATGGTGAATCTATCTTATACATTTCTGTATGAATGAAATTCAGATTTTGTTTTTGAGCTTGTCTTAACAATTTTTTATCGCAATTCTAAAGGAATTGTACTTTGAAATGTGATAGATCCATTTTAATCGTACACAAAGATTCTTTCTATATTGATCAACATCTATGATAGGATCAAAAGAGCAGCATATCAAAAAATCTACCACACAATCTGTGAAGAAGAATATACAGTAAAACCTCTATATGTGAACACCCCTCCTTAATGAACACCTCGCTATTACGAACGCTTCTAGCCGGTCCCAAAAATCGATTTTTGCTGGAAATAGACCTCTCCTTTATGAACACCTTCTTATTATGAACGCTTTTTACTGGTCCCGAAGGTGTTCAGATTAGAGAGGTTTTACTGTAGATTCAATTTTCTCACTATATACTTCAATACTCATTAGCAGTCGTATTTCATGATATTTGTATTACTAACCTGATGTCGTTCCAACTGTAAGAAGTACATGATGAACTAATGCTGATGAACTTCGAACCGATTTAAATAATAACATAATGATTATGTCATAGATAAAATAACCAGATGAATAACATACACTATATGTTATCATTTCATCATTCGTACCTTTTATACCACCACCGAGTATTCGATTGACTTGTGTCAAATTAACTGTCGAATATAGATAGAATATACATACAGCAAGAACGGATACACAGGCATGAATAGTCGATACAATATAACTTTTAATTAATGGTGTAATAGACGATGGAAGAAAAAAGAAGATAAGACTGTTAAAAGCAATTGAGATGATTATTAATAATGATATGGGAAGATCTGATGATGGATTCGTCCCAAGATCTATATATGAATATACACGTATACACTATTGATGATAAACGATAGTATAAAATACTTATATTGGGCACGAACATCGTCGTCAAACAACATTAGATACGTGAAAATCTTTCTTGCATTTTGAAGACGCTCTATCACAATGTAACAAATAAGAACGAACAGAACTGAGCAAAAAAAAACAAGAGGTTATACTTCATTTTGTATGTAAAACGAGCTATATATAGTTCGACAATGTCAAATTACTTTAATAAAGTCGACATTCTCCTCTATAATACTGAAAATATTCATCAGTGAGACTACAAATGATATGAATTATCTTAGAATGAGATTATTAGGTTTTAGCTATGATTTCAATAGTATTGTTTTTCTACTTTCCTATTCTTAACATTCAATTCAGAATACACTGACCATGACTAGATATGAATGGGATTGTTCAGATTTACATCACTGTTCAAATCTTTATCATTCATCATCATCATCATCACGAAGTTTTTGCTTAGTTGTTCGTATGTTCAGAGAAATAACACTATGAATTTGCTTTTTAAAGAGATTGACTTCCAAGCACAGACAAACAAACAAATAAATAAGATAAACGTTCAAATTGATGATCGGAGTGTAATGGTTGAAAGAAAGTATTTATGAAAAAAAACACATGCAGTAGATGTTGTTCGTCAGCAATCATCAACATAGTTCCAACTTTTGAATATCTTTCAGAACTGCAAATAAGCAATTTTGCTCATGTCTAAGATTATCGAAACAATTGTTTGAAATGAGATCATATAATATTTTCTACAGAAAAAAAGAAAAAGAAACAGTCTCTTGAACTGTCAGCAATATTTTGAAAAGCAGTATGTGTTGGTTTGTTTTATTTTTATGAAAATAATAGACCAATCTTGTAGTAGTATGACCATGTAAAAACTACAAAAAGACGAAGATCTAAGAGTCGCCTACAGTATAAGACAATAGAGATAGCTGGAGTAAATCAATAATATCGAACACCTCCTATTCAAAGTCTTTGGTTACTATTGAGTGATCTTAATGACGATCTACCGAAGAAAAGACACACGTCCACACTATACACATCCTCATCCATACCTCGATGCGACCAAAATGTGGAACTTATATCAGAATACTATACCAACAAATGTCGCATCACGAGAAAGAACAAAGATATTTTGGTCTTCGCAATTGATCCATAATATCATCTGAACATATTTGTTATGATCTGTAGAATAGATGAGAATCATTTTGTTGCTATATACGTACTTCAGCGCTCATTTACAATCATGTCTCATAAAAAAGCTGTTAGCACAATCCCTGCGGGATTCAAATATGAAACACGATCGATCTATTTCACATGAACATGAAGGTATTTCTTATTTTCATCAAAATTCTCTTGAAGGTTTAGGGAACATTATCTATAAGTGAGTATGACCCTCTGAAACTAGGGCTAATATAATGAATCGGGAGGGAGAAATATCTTTTGTTTTGGCTTTGGGGTCCGACAAATGCAACTACACTTATTCCTCATTCTAGTGGTTGTTATTGATTACTATGGCATGAATAGTGTTGAAGACAATAGAAATCTGTCCAAAGGGAAATAAATTGATCGACAACGTACAAAAAAAAAGAAATACAACGGATATAAGATTCAATGATGTAGAGGTCTCTCGCCGACA